CCGAATGGCTGAGCGGTCAAAGTGGTAGCTTATTGCTCTTGTGGACCCAAGATCAAAAAAAACCCCAGAAAATTTTCAGGTGGTGATCCATTCTTCACCACCTGGCTGTTCCATTTGGAGTTTGCTAAATAAAAAAGCCGTCTTAGTGCCCATAGGGCAAAAAGAGTTTTAAAAAACTATATTTAAATAAATAAAATATGTTGTAATTAGAGTTGTGGGAGTAGCCAAGGGTATGAGTAAATTACCTATATTACTTACTGGCACACAATCGTGAGATCGGCTCTTGGAACTTTTTATAGGAGGGCGGTAATATTTAGGAAAAGGGGATTCAAGACTGTGAAGTTTTTATCCCAAATTGTCAGGGTCCCGACACCAGTTAATCTTATAACACGCGGATTAACACGCATGAAGTATACTTATTACGAGTCATTTTAGGAGACATTTAATAAAAACGAAATAATAAATTTAATAAAACAAGAAAATAAACTCATACAAAAATCTTAATGAACGAGGGACAGAATCACTACAAATAATATACAAATCGAGCGATAGCTAAGCTTATATTATACCCTAGTCGCGATCGAGAGAGAGCTCACAAAAATCGTTATAAAACATACGACCTGTTTCAGTTGTCGTTCGTCTTCTTCTCTGTATGCAAGTTCATTTACTTCTTCGTATGGGAGATCACTATGTGCACAAATATAAAGGTATCACTTCTATGTGCAGACTCTAGACTTATTCTGTATGTGACTCGTCTAAGGACGTTGGTCATCAGGAGGGAAACACATGTAAATAAACTGTTGAANCCTAGACTAACTTTCAAAACACAATATAAAAAAATTATTTCCAAATCTAACCTATTGATCAATAATATGGTGAAGTTGTTTTCCCAAAGTAAACTTAAGAATATATTTATTCACATGAGACTGTTTAACTCAATAATTATTAATGCCATAGGCCAGGGATGGCAAACCTTTTTGAGTCTGCATGCCACATAGTAAGAATATTAAGCATACTTTTCTTTAAAAATGATTGTGTGCGCAAAGTTTTAGACTTCTAGTAACTATATTTAAATTTGGCCGAATGGCTGAGCGGTCAAAGTGGTAGCTTATTGCTCTTGTGGACCCAAGATCAAAAAAAACCCCAGAAAATTTTCAGGTGGTGATCCATTCTTCACCACCTGGCTGTTCCATTTGGAGTTTGCTAAATAAAAAAGCCGTCTTAGTGCCCATAGGGCAAAAAGAGTTTTAAAAAACTATATTTAAATAAATAAAATATGTTGTAATTAGAGTTGTGGGAGTAGCCAAGGGTATGAGTAAATTACCTATATTACTTACTGGCACACAATCGTGAGATCGGCTCTTGGAACTTTTTATAGGAGGGCGGTAATATTTAGGAAAAGGGGATTCAAGACTGTGAAGTTTTTATCCCAAATTGTCAGGGTCCCGACACCAGTTAATCTTATAACACGCGGATTAACACGCATGAAGTATACTTATTACGAGTCATTTTAGGAGACATTTAATAAAAACGAAATAATAAATTTAATAAAACAAGAAAATAAACTCATACAAAAATCTTAATGAACGAGGGACAGAATCACTACAAATAATATACAAATCGAGCGATAGCTAAGCTTATATTATACCCTAGTCGCAATCGAGAGAGAGCTCACAAAAATCGTTATAAAACATACGACCTGTTTCAGTTGTCGTTCGTCTTCTTCTCTGTATGCAAGTTCATTTACTTCTTCGTATGGGAGATCACTATGTGCACAAATATAAAGGTATCACTTCTATGTGCAGACTCTAGACTTATTCTGTATGGGACTCGTCTAAGGACGTTGGTCACCAGGAGGGAAACGTATGTGGAGTTTGGACGCTTTCGGATCTGTCGCTGAACTCCCCGAATTCAGACTAATTTCCCTTATATCTCCTGAATTTCGACCAATCATCGGCCAGTAACTCTTTCATGAGAACGGACGAAAGGGGGATGAATGAGGGGTAACCATTTCCCATCTGAGCAGGATTTTAACCAGATAAGGGAAAGTCAGAGGATGTTCTCTTCTGTGAAAGGAAGTAACATCTGTTATCTGGGTTTTTCCCACGTTAAAACAGTATTTTTCTCACCAAAAATGAAGTAATATTTGGTGACAACATTTAACATAATTAATAAAATTATTAGCTTAGACCCAGGGGCCTTTCGGGTCTCACAGAGTAAATGTAAACAACCTGATTGAAAAAGATAAACCGAAATCGTATAATACCTTACGTGCAAGATGATTTCTTCAACATGATTTCTTCAAACTATAGCACGCGTGCCATAGGTTTGCCATCTCTGCCATAGGCTTTGCCTCTCCAATTTGGAGCCTTACAAGTCGTAAAAAACTTGACATAATTCAAAATAAATTCATCCACAAAATTTTTACTCTAGAATATAACATTTTTGGATATGCACTTAACAGGTTCAAATTAACTCCCTTCTTTGTAAAAAGGTTAATCAATTTTCTTTTCAAGATTAGAGATAATGGAAATATATCAAAAACAACAGTTCAGAAGGTAAATCAAAACTCCTGTCAAAATCCACAAAAAAGTTCTTGGGTGAACCAAATGACAAATATTGTCAACGACTTTGGTGTTTTTATAACTCCACCTCTGATAAAATCAGAAACTAGCAACCTGATTAAAACTCAAATTCTCCAAAATACATTGGAGAAATGTACAACCGAAAGAACCAGAGTGGTACAGCATTACAGTAGAGCATCGATTATCCGACCCCCCCATTAACTGTCACATTGGTTAACCGACCGTTCTAGTCGGCAAATTTCAAATGTCCGCTAATGATGTGGCATTACAATATTTGGCTATGTCTTCGCTACTTTATTATTATTTTTGTTAAATTTTTGCGTGTTTTAGCTGGCAACATCAGCTAGACCATTGAAGAGAGGCCAGTATTTAAACGAAACTTAATTTTCTAATTATGAGTGGTTGTTTGTTTTGTGAGCAATAAAATAATTTAAAAATAATTTTTAACGATACAATAGCAACGATTATTATTAAAAAAAAAATTTGTTAGGCTTAACATCGATGAAAATTCAATGCAAAGTTGGTTAATAGCGATATACTAATATACTATACTAATAATGTATTTTTTTCATTCTTTTCAGTTATCCGACCAACCTGAGTCCCCAACTGAGTCGGATAATCGATGCTCTACTGTATTCTAGATTACCCTTTTAATAATAACTACATGTTATCAAATATGCCATTTGCAATCAAGAAATTTTATATCCAACTTAGATTAAATAAAAAGATAATTATGGTAAATAATAAAATTTATGAATTCTTGAAAACATACTGTCCAAGATGAAAGAAAAGATTAACAAAACTTGATATACTAATATACTATACTAATAATGTATTTTTTTCATTCTTTTCAGTTATCCGACCAACCTGAGTCCCCAACTGAGTCGGATAATCGATGCTCTACTGTATTCTAGATTACCCTTTTAATAATAACTACATGTTATCAAATATGCCATTTGCAATCAAGAAATTTTTTATCCAACTTAGATTAAATAAAAAGATGATTATGGTAAATAATAAAATTTATGAATTCTTGAAAACATACTGTCCAAGATGCAAAGAAACATTGATGAAACTTCATATGTTTTGTGAGTGCAAGGAAGGCCAGAAACTAAGAATTAATGGTGAACTAAATCAGCTAAATACCTTTTAAGGAGAAAAATCAAATGCATCGGTTATTCCATTTAGCAAATACTACAATGATATACCAATTATATAATTTCGCAAAAACTTTTTGTAATCAGCCTTTCTAATTTTATGTAACAAATCTGATATTCATGAGTATTGTAATTATAGGATATTTAGTTTTACATGATTATTGTTAATGTTGATATAAGTTAATTTGATATAATGTAAGCCTAACACCTTGTTATATCAGGCTATGGCCTATTATGATTAATAAACTGATTTAATTTGAAAAAACAATTCATTTTTATAGATTAATAAATTCATAAAATGCTGTTAAAGAAACTTGTTCTTTTGTTCATAAAGAGAAATGTAATATAAATATATATAATAAGACATTTTACTTGCTTGAAAAACAAAATTTTAAAATTCACACAAATTTCCAGAACAACATTTAACTTAAAAATAATTCAAAACAATTAAAATACAATTATATTAATATTTTTAAACTGCACTTTATTTTTCTAATTTTATTCAAATTAAAATGAAAGCAATCATATACACTATATTGTCAGAAATAACCAGACACTTCCTTGAACATATGCAGATTTGCCCATGCGTCAAAGGTGCAAATCCTGATGCAATAAAAGGACCATAAACCCATAGTAGATGTGTATTACAGTTATTGCTATCAAAATGAACAAATGACGCAAGCTGAGTGAGGCTGAATGTGGTATGATTATTGGTGCCCATCGATTTGGCCATTCTATCTGAAGTTTCTAGAAAGTTCCAGATACCGTGTTCAACAGTGAGCAATGTTGTAGTGAAATGGAAACGTGAAGGAGTTATAAAACCCAAAATCCAACCTGAAAGACTGAAAATACTGACAGATTGGGATTATAGATGGCTCCAATGTGTGGTGAGGTCAAACTGGCAGTCCTTGTTAGAAACTATGGCAACAGGCTTTGGGAAGTGTTGTCAGCTCTCATAACATCCATAGAGAGGTGTTTGCACTTGGATTCCATGGGCAAGCTGCAAAGCATAAGCAAATGATCACTACATGGAATGCTGCTCATTGACTACAGTAATATAAAGCTCATTGCCAGTGGACACTGGAACAATGGAAAGACATCTTGTGAAGCAATGAATCATGCTACACATTATGGAGATCCAATGGATGTGTTTGGATGTAGAGATTGCCTGGTGAACACTACTTACTGGAGTGTATTATTCCCACTGTAAAATTAGGCAAAGGAGGAAATTCTCCTGTTTTTCTGAATTCGTGTGGTCCTGTTTTTTGTGGTTTGGTCTTGGCTCTCTATTTTTGTGCTCAGAACTTTGAAAGCCGAGGGCTATAAAGCAATTTTGGACAATTATGCTCTGCCTACTCTGTGGCAACAATTTGGAATTGGCCCATTTCTCTTTCAGTGTAATATTTTTAATTAATAATAAATATTTTGACAGTATTGATTGCCTGTTGTTGAATTGCACAATTAATATGATATATTATAAATTTCATTACATTTAACATTATAACTTAATAATAAAAGACAATCCCATTGCACATGAAGGTGAGGAAGAATTACTGGTGGCAACATTGGATAGATTATTGAATGAAAAGCATCTCTTTTTTCTACAGGTTAAGTAACACATTAATATACTACAGATTGATACTCATGCCAAATATTGTATAGTAGGATGGAGAGGTCATTGAGTTATAACACTGAACTCAGTGAGCTCTCTGCCCTACTGCACATTAAATATGCAAATGTAAATTTAAATTTACAGTAAATTTACTTGAAAATTTTTTTGAACAAGAAAAAGGAAAGCCAAAAATACTTTTTTTGTACAATAAACAAGTCATGAAGGATATACATTGTTTATTTTACATTACATTTGTTTTGTTACTTTATTTATCTTAAGATCAGCCATTTCCAGTTCAGATCAGATTAAACATTGATGTTGACCTCTCCAATATTCTACATAAAGATTGTGTTGCACCTAGCAACAGGTAAGTGACCACATAAAGAACAAAGACAGGTCCAAAACCAATTGGGATGATCAACTGAAAGGCTATGTTAATAAAAGCCCAAGTTTCAAAGACAGATTTTCTTCACCCAAAGGGGATTGATTACATCGCCTAAAACTTAGCAGCACGAAGACTCTTCTCTTCCTCCTTTGTGCTTTTACTCATACGGCCAACTTTATCTGTTTATCTTCAATTCTCCATTGATCACCACCTATCACATCATTGGAACCAATGACAATGCCCCTGGGCTGACAAATTGTCAAGGGAAATAATCAACGGTTCAACATCACTGCTCTGGACTTTTAAATCAGAATATTGTCCCACAATATTGACAAAAAGAAACTAAACACTGCCCTAGCTATATACACAACAGATAATGAGGTGCACGCCTTTCTCGAATGGTTATGATCATCAAAGCACGCCAACTCCAAGATACTAGAAGCAATAGAAATATTTAAATCTGAGAAAAAGGGCCATTGCATAAATTTTAAACACAAAAAACAACTATCATACATATAACAATCCTTATATGACCGTGTGACCAAATATAACGTAACAACATGACATAGGGACAGTATAACGAAAAAGTTCTCAGTTATTGTTATGTAATCTTCAAATATTTATTTTAATTGTGTATTTTGTAATTTTATAATTAATGTTACTTTTATTTTTATGTATCTCAAAATCTCTTTCATTTAATTTAAAAAAAAAATCATTGTTCAATTTAATAATTCCATCATAAAATATAGAATCAAGGCCTGAAGATCTCCAATTGCAAATTGAAAACATTAGTCAAAAAAGCTTTTTTGAATTAACTTTACTAGAAAATAATTTAAGGCTTTTGATTGAAGTGTTTACTAGATCATTCCAGTCCAATAAGTAGAGTTTGTAAGGAACCAAGTCCGAGCATTATTTTTAGTTACTTTTATTTTGCTTTCTTTCCATTTTTGTTTGGGGCTTATGTTTTGTTAGGACGAAGGTTTCCTCGCCACTCACCTTACAAACTTAAAACAGAAGAAAGAATCAACTCACCAACGAGAAAAAGTGCTGTAGAAAAAAACTCGCACACACTTGCACTCCTGAGCGGAAAAAAGTAAGCCCGCACCGAGATGAGGGGGAAGAGACCCCACAAGCACAACTTAGGAACTTGCTAAACCTTAATGAAGAAAACATCCCAAAAATTGTCAAAAAGAATGATGTAAAAAGGTTAGCGAGTATTGTAGACTGCCAGGCAAACAAGAAAAGTTATTGTTAGCGATAAGCATGTAAATGAGGGGAGTGGACTCAGTCAGAATTGTGACGTCACCTCACAGTATAAATATCATACCTCAAGTGAAGATGACCAAGGTGAGCTTCTGTTAGCAATGAGCGTGGTGAGCTTCATAGCAGCGAACGACAAGAGGTGTCCAATAGCTATAAAGGTGTTCCAAGGTGATTAGAAGTTATTCAATTTGTGGATCGAAGATTAGAGAAAGTCTTGAGAGTTGAGGGAAAAGGTTCCTAGTATATTGAGGTGATGGTTAGGACCTTCGTTCATAAGAATTGTTGTACATAAGTTAAGTCTTTGAATTTTTTGTCAAATTCCAAAGGGAAATAGATTTAAGTTAGCAATTAGATTGATTTTGAGTTTTGTTGGGTTGATTATTATTGTTGATTTTCTTTGAACTTTGTTGTTTCATTATTACTAATTTTTGTACATAGTAATTATTAGAATTATTAAATATTGGATTGTTTTTGACCTAATTTTTTTTTGCAATTATTTAATTCGGTGCACGCTTAAAGTCCAGGCCTGGCACATTAATGCAAACCCGCGTAAAGTACCAGTTAGGTAACGACTATTTCCGGCACACAGTCGTGTCGATAATCATTGTAAAAGGCATAAAAATATAGTACTTTACAATTACAAGTTTATATCTTTTAAGGAATAAAATTCTTATAACAAAACAAATGCTCAGATTATGGTATCTGTGTATAATTGTTATGAAAGGGGGGAATCTTCATTTAATTTTTACCATTAATATCAAAGACAGAGTTATAATTTCCTCAAATCAAAAATAAAATATATATAGGATTAAATAAAAATTACACAGAAGACAGTAGATAACATCTAAAATCCAAACTGTATAGTATTATGGTTTTAAATGCAATTTATATACTGGACTGAAATAAAATTAAATCTTACCTCTCTGTAACGGTATTGCAACATGAATAAGTGAATCCAATAAAAGGCAGATTTTTACCACTGAACTCGTTCTTTGATTTTAAATCAGAAGCAGATGGACGAGCAGTTTCATGTTCAAAATCATCAAAATTAGAAGTATCATCTTCCGCAGACACATTTGGTACAAAAGGAGGAGGAACTGTTAAACAATGGATGATTAAACACATTACATTCAAACAACAATTGAAGGAATATTAATTAACAAAATTTTATAAATATTTTTAAAACACAAATATGATAATGTTCAGAAATATCAGAGTTAATTTGCAAAAATGATTTTATTACAATATTAAATGTGTTAATTATTTTAATATACTGTAAATCAAAAAAAATTTTACTATACTTAAAATTCTACTTATTGTAATTATTTGGGACTTGTCTGAAGTGATAACAATAAGAATGAGAAATGAACTAACTAAATAAGATTAAAGCAAATTCTGGCTTCATTATTCATAACCTTAAAAGGATATGTTAAAACAAAAAATTATATGAAACTTTAAGATTAATTATAATTATTAATTAAACAATAACCGATAAATTATATATTGCCTGCCATCAACTTCAACAACAGCTAGAGTTTTGCCGCAATTTAAACTATTGTATTGTGATCAAAAAACAATTATAACAATTAAAACACTGGATAAAACTGATAACATGAAAATAATGTTATTTTAATCACAAAAGACACAGTCTGTCCAAAAATTACTTTTTGAAAACCACCATTTATTGAAAGGTCGGGTTGTCGATGGTGTTCTGGAACACATGATCAGTATAAATGGTGGTTTCAAAAAATTTTTGGACAGACTGTCTTTTGTGATTAAAATAAATTTTCATCTGGCGAAATTCTACAAACAAAACTTTTTCAAAAGTAATTTGTCACCAGAGGGATAAGGCCAAAATTTACATTTAACAGCACATTTATCAAGTGAATATAAGGACTGAAATTCCCTAACTGGAAAGGATGCAAGTTCAAGACAACTGTAAGGCCGCCAGTTCCAATTTTTTACTTTTAATGTTTTAATTGGATATTTTTGTGTGTTTTTTAAAAGAATGTTTTAGCCTGACAACCTAGTAGCCTACAAAGAAAGGTCGGGTTGTCGATGGTGTTCTGGAACACATGATCAGTATAAATGGTGGTTTCAAAAAATAATTTTTGGACAGACTGTGTCTTTTGTGATTAAAATAAATTTTCATCCGGCGAAATTCTACAAATCTGAAATATCTTTTCAGATTAATCTTAAAGTATCGAAAATATGTTAAAAATGATCGATTGTTAAAGTGTGAGAAAATTAACATTTAACCAAGTCCATGGGGAGAATCTAAAAACAATCAAAAGAAATCCTAAACCTGCTAGTCAATTTTTTTTATTTCCCATTGTCCATCGACAACACATTCTGAATATCACCACGACCAAACATCGAATCACCTGACTGAATTCCCACACCTGATAGGGGATGTAATGGCCAACCCAACACCCAACCTTCGAGCCGAATTTCACCAAGACTCCCTTCCCACAATACTTCAGGCAGATTTCCCCCATAGACGGGTGACCACTAACTCCAATGCNCCCCCTCACATCATCATCTGATTTAACAATTAACCAGCTGAGGGCATCCTTCATCTTCCTAAAAACATGGTAGTAACATGGCAACAAATCAGGATTGTATGGCAAGTGTTTGAGGACTTCTCTCATCATCATCAAGGTGCTTAAGGTGTTTAGGCAGCAGTGACTATTGGATTTCAAATAAGCTTGAAGAAAACCAGGCTGTAAAACAAAAACTACCTTTATTGCAAACAGATGAAACTTAACAAAAGGCAAAGATTATATATCTAGAACACACAGTCAATTAGACTTGAACATTTCAAAAAAAATTAAATTTTTGAATTAAATGTACCGTATATTCCGGTGTATAAGACGACCTCCGACTTTTACAGTTAAAATATAGAATTTGGGATTTACTCACTGAATAAGATCTGAGAGGCAGAGAAGATGTACGGTAATAGGATATATACAAAGGTGAGCCAAATGAGTGAAAGATGCGTGTTTTTCTGGGCACAGCGCCACTCTATCTCTATCCATACCCTGGGCTTCCCGGCCAACTGTAGCCCCCGCCCTATAAGATGACACCTGGCATATAAGACGACCCCCGACTTTTGAGAAGATTTTCCTGGGTTAAAAAGTTGTCTTATATGCTAGAATATACGGTAATTTTAATTCAAAAAAATTTTTTTAAACATACAATTTACAAGAAGCATACAATTAATAATTTGAGCTATGTACAAACATAGTATGTACAGTATATAGAATAATTCAAATCAAAAGAAGGTAGTATATACAAAACTGACAAATAACATTTACAGAAGTTTAATTTAAATATACTTTTAGATTATATCATTTCAGTAAATATAAAAACTTTATTTTGAAGTATCAGAAAAAAATAAAACTTACAATAAAAAAAAAAAGACTAATAGTATTAACTTACTAAAAGTATGAATTTTATTTCCTAAAACAATTCTTACTTTGTCTGATATTATCCCAATCAATATCAATGAAGAATATATTTACATAAAGTTGTTCATAGCCCCAACGTTCAGTACTTTCTTGTAGTAAACCTTTAATTAGATCAACTGCTGATTGAGATACTTCAACTTCATCATTTGGAAACTTCAGAGATTTCTATAATAAAATACCAACACCTTAAATATGAATGATTATAAACAAAGATTTTAATCTTAAGTTTATTCAAAAAAAGTAAAAGCATCAATAATAAATAAATACGTGTCTCACAAAAGCTTTTTAATTCAGATACATATGTCAACAGTAACAGATATTTAATTAATAACTTCAAACCATTACTGAAAATAAATTTCTTTTATAAACAATCTGGATAATAATTGTTTCTAACTAAAACATATTGGCTTTTGTCTGGCATAATACATGGCATTTGTGCCAATTAAGTATTGCACTTATACTACTACAATAATAATAATTTGTATCTACATTTTTAATTACATTGATTTATTATTAAACTTATTTCATTCAAAATGAAACCAGAATTATTTTTTGAGCATATCATTTAATATTTTTCAAAATATTCCTCTCCTGATGGTTAAAGCAAGTATCCACCACTTCACAATTTTTTTTCTTTCTAAAAACACAGCTTGGCTACTTGCAAACACATTCCATGACCCCCCTCACATCATCATCTGATTTAACAATTAACCAGCTGAGGGCATCCTTCATCTTCCTAAAAACATGGTAGTAACATGGCAACAAATCAGGATTGTATGGCAAGTGTTTGAGGACTTCTCTCATCATCATCAAGGTGCTTAGGCACATGGTCTAGCATTGTATTAAAGAAAAATCATTCCTTTACTCACAAGTCCTGGCTTTTTGGACTTGATGGCCTTACATATGCAAGCCCACAGATTTTAGGGCGCAAACTCACTTAAAAAACAAAGAAAAAAGAATTAGTTTTTTTAAAGTTGAATGTAAACATCCACCGACACAAAAAATTTTCCTCATCGAGAATAAGATTGGATGTCACTGTTAGTGTCAACAATCAAGTGGAAAAAGTTAACACTTAGTGTCAAAGAATGCAAGTCATCATCAACAGAAGACGATCTTGTGACCCCGTTCCCACCATAATGCTATAAAAGCAACAGCCACTGGAAGCTTGAGGCGATCAACACAGGAAGTTATTCTTGCACTAGGGAGACATCTTGTCTCCCGTCCCGATCCTGTCCGAGAAGACAATGGTAGAAGACATTGAGGACTTTCACTACTTCCATAACCATAACTGATTGTCACATATAGCTTTCCATCCACACAGAGGTAATTATCAGCAGTCTGAGAACTCTCTCTCAACGGAAATAGGCATAGCTGCTATAGAGTAGCCCAGTTGTAATTACAAATTATTGTAACTGCATTTAGCCCTATATTATCTATATATGTGTTTAGCTTTGTATATCCTCTTTATTTTATATAACTAACTATAAAATACAACATTTATTTGTTATGTTAACCTGTCATCTGTCTATTTGAGAACCTGGACACCTATCGACTTACCAATGCGCTCCCCACTTGTTTTGCCCTCCTATCCATCCAGTGACAACATGAATGGTCTTTGCAGACTGTTCCAAGTAAGTGGTTGATAGGGACAACCCCTAGAACCCATGGTTTCTCACATATAGTTGATTTTTCAAGATCTCTGCATAAGATTGCAAGGTAATCTCATCTTTCTTTGCTCCTTATCCACTTCCTGAACCTCAATGGTCGAAAAAGATCATCATAAGCGTTGGCTGAAAACCAGTCATTCTGCTTTCTGGGGATCCAGTATATTTCCACCCCATAATTTCATTGTTTGTGCTGGGGCACATACCAAATGCATACTGTTATCCAGTCACAATTCAGTCCAAGAAGGCTGCTACCTCTTAGGAGTTCTTCCCACAGTGTAGGTATTGGAGGTACAGTACATTGCTAGTCACTCTCCTTTTTGGTGCTCAGTGAGAAGTTTAGGAATCCATTTTGCACACACTTTTCTATAGTTAAACACATCATGCATTACTGAATATGCCAATCCATAGTTAATCTGCAAACAGACAGCAACTTCATTAACAGTGATGGACCAGTTACTCTGGATTAAGGCATTTGAAAACGGCTATCACCAATCTGAACATTGCAACTTCAATCTACCACTATGCAAGATGTCAGTACTGACTGTTGTCCTGCACAAAACTTTTTGGTCTATTTGAAGACCAAGAAGTTTTGTGCAGCTATTTGAAGTTTTAGCTATTTGAAAAATCCATAGTAAATTAATATATGAATTAAACAGTTTCATAAAATTATAATAAATCTAAAAAATTTAAACAGATTTCATATTTTAATCAAAAAAATTACAGTAAAGAAAGACACACACAATTTTTTTATTATCTATTTTAAAAAATTTGCTAATACTTTATTACTACTACAATGTAGTCTATAAAACACAATCTAATACAATTATTACATATAACTTACTTTAAAATTCATGATATTGTTATAAGTAGCAAGAACTTTTTCATCATTAAATGGAGTATGGCCAAACAGCATTTCATATGCAACAATTCCTAAAGACCACCAATCACATTCCACTCCATATGTAGAGGATGCAGCTGGCCCAGAATTCATAGCCATTAACACTTCAGGAGCAATATAATCAGGAGTACCAACAGGCATTTTACTTAATACCTTAACAAAAAATTATTATAGATCATTTTAACAAAATATGAGATTCTTGATCATTTTTATTTGTTAATATAATTCAAAATAATTTCTAAAATTAGATTGTAACATATGAATTAAAACTAAGTACTGTCTCTACAGTGGTCCTCAGAAAAAACTATTAGTAAAACATATGTTAATATATTTTATTACAACTATTAATTGCTGTTAACTATGATCAGCTGTTTATATTATTGTTATTATTCTAGTGTGATCAGTATTGCTGATAAGCAGTATTACACAATACTGTATTTACTGCTCTAATGTCTAACAAACTTGATTGAAAATATCAAGATTTCATTAGTATTCAAAATATTAAAGTAACCAAACTGAAAGATGTACATCTAGATAGAAACTCAAATAAAACTATAAAACTGGAGAAAAGAATTGTTATTTTTCTGAAATTTTTCTTTAAATTCAAGTTATAAAATTTATGGATTTTTATAATGAAAATAATGTTATAATTACAGTCTTCTGAGCTCCAAGTTTTGCTGCTGATCCAAAGTCCGCCAATTTAATATGGCCTGTTCGATCAATCAGTATATTATCAGGTTTTATATCTCTGCAAATAAAATATTAAAAATGTTAAATATTTTTAAAGCATGATTTAAAAATGTTTTTTTAATTTTATATTAAGTTATCTAATAAAAAATATCAAAACTGTCTATTTAAAACTACCCAATTCTATTTAAACACACATCAATAATTATGTCATTTTCCAATTACAACACAGTCAGTAATTCAGCCAATCTCTAGTTTGACATATCCAGTAATCCAACAGTAGTTTACTCAGGTATTATAGGTACTGTTGCCAAGTTATAGATAACTCTTCCACTAGTTCAAACTCCAGTTCCTACTAAATTTGAATACTTTCCCACTAAATGTGGCATGATATTAAGCCCAAGCTTGAACACTCGCTAAATAATATCTCTCATAAAACACCCATCTCTCGATCATCTGTCTTATAGTAATTCTTAATCATCTGAATAATTTTCACTGTTTAGTCACTAAAGAATATCTTGATGTCAAATGTTTTTTCAACAATGAGTTTAAACATAAGAGTTGGATAACAGCCAATACAGTTTCATAAAGCAATTTTCATAGTTTTTATGAAGTAATAGACAAGTATATAAAATGTGTTTAAAAAACTTAACATATAATTAAAATCTCATATGATGCAATTAAATTTATATGGAGGCATCCCTGCTTAACATTGATAATTTGTTCCTAAAAATCAGATATTCTGAGGAAAAATGTTAACCAGAGTCACCACCTTATTACTTTAAATTAAAAAAAATTATAAGGGATTTGGATTGTAACACAACTACTTTTCAAAAACAATTTTACTGTGTTTTATTAAGTAACAAACTATCATGTTAGGACATATAATGCTTCAAACATTGCTTCTTTCTGATCAGTAAAAAGCGAATATGTTTGTAATACAAAGTCTTTAAAGCAAAGATGTTAATCTGTCACTCTGAGAAACCGAAAATGTCAGGAAATCTGTCTCGAGCACGTTAGATTTCATCCCTCATCACCTGACTCTGCCCATTGTGGGACCAATTGAATGTTTGAAGAGAAATTTGTTAGGAAAGAAAATGCAGATAAAAATTTACAATAAAAAAACAAGTATTAAATTACAACATATTTTTAACAGTGTCAGCAACACTTTTGTAGATTGCAAATTCAATTGCTGTTATTATGATTGATAGAATTTGCTAGAATGCTAGAAATGATGTAAAAGAAATACATTGAGGGTCAACAAAGAGTATGTGTATTTCACATGTTGCTGATGAAGGAAAAATCATTACAAAATATCGTACTAACACCTTTTGAATTAGAAAAAGCATGAACATGCTTTTGTGGCATTATTAACAGTGATTATGGTTAATAAATTCAATGCAATCAAGTCCGAGATTATTCAAGAGTTTTTTCTTCATTTTATTAATTAATATATTAAATACCTCAAACAATACATTATTATTGGTGGCATATAAATAACCTTCAAACATTAACAACAGAATTCTTCAGGTACATGAATAATAAATTTTACAATTAGCCAAAAGAGAGTATCTTATTAAAAATCTTATTCTTAATTATAAATTAGCCAACTTATCTGATTCTTATAGTCCCATCATGCCTAAAGAGTCACAACAGCATTAGAAATTCTTTATTTAACTTTCAAAACATGTTTTGGTTCATCTATGAAGTATATGCCCTCTTCAGATTAACAGCATTACATTAAGTATGTTGAATGATACACATCATAATAAATGTAACTTTAATGTTCTAAGAAATAGAAATGCTACTAAAATAGAAAAGGTTAGTTATACTTGTATTTTATAGAACAATGTTATTGTGAATCTTTAGGAATAATAAAAATATAAGAAATCATTATGTTGAATCTTCTTTACTGTCTTTGACTAATTATTTAATTTGACTAACGATTAAAAAGCAACATTTTAAAATTTTATGAGCATTTTTGACAAGACTATGTCTTGTTTATAAAATCATACTGCCATTTATTATTACCAGCATAGAGGTATAAAAGAGTACATANTAGCACGATTTCACATTCATAAAAGTTTTTACCGTTGCTTACAAAAAACCGATCCAAGTGATTTTTGACATTGTCATTTCGAGTAATTGTCTTACAGTTAAAAAAAATTGTACAGACCGGAACAAGTAATAATCTGTGTGCTGGATCTGGCGAATACAGTTGGTGTGATAGCACATCCCATCTAAGTTATAACAGTTTCTGACGAGTTACCAAACTTGTGTGAAATTTGACATTATTGTGGTAAAACACTACAGCTGTTTTTTTTATCAATTCTGGCTGGCTTTTTCTGTTTGATGATATTACGCAATTTGTTTACTCGAATGCAGTACACTTTCGAATCAATTGTTAAATTGTCTGGTAAAAAGCTCCAAAAAAAATTTTCTTAATATCCCACCAAATAGAGCATTTCTCTTTAAGAACTCGTGGAATTCATTTATCGAGCTTTGAAACGAAACCAATTTGTTTCAAGTACTCAAACAGTTCAATTTGACAAATTTAATCTCTTAGTGGTTTCACGTGTTGTTATTCGGCAGTTTGCTTCAATCAGTATCTTTATTTTGTTTTCATTGGCTTCAACTGGCCATCCAGAACAAGGTGCATCTTCAATATTGAAATTTCCAGAACGAAATTTTGTAAACCAATTTTGGCGCTGTCGTTCTGTCAACACATCTCCACCATACATGTCACACGATTTTTTTCTTGCTTGAATGGCATTTTTATTTTTTTGGTAATAAAACAACAAAATATGCCGAAGATGCTGCTTTCGATCTTCCATATTTGATGGGACACAAAAAATAAATAATTGCACGAAATCAAACAAAATTTTTTACAAATAAGCCTTAAAATGCTAGCTGTCAAAATATATAATGATAATATGGTTTAGAATGAAAATGG